AATTTTGTAACGGACAACGGACCGTTCATTGAACGTATTAAAAGGTGAAAGGAATTTGGAAAGGTGCATGGTTAAGAATTAAGGAACCTTGACTAACCCACTATTGAAATCAATTATATCTTTTTCTTTAAAAAAAAAAAAAGAAAAAAGTCGAAAACAACGGAACGGATTTCAACTTTCTATTCTATTTCTAGTACACCGTTTTCTAAAAAGCATAAAAAAAAGGTCTGAAATTCTGTCTTCCTCCCATCTCCCTAGCATTTTAAATGCCAATATTTATAATTCAAACTCAAGAGTCAAGTGGTTAATTTGTTAATCCAGGTTAGAAGTTTAATCTTCCTGTTCTTATATATTGTATTAAAAAAAATACTAAATAGTACAAAATAAATATATATTTATAAAAATGCATACTACTTTTGGGCTATTTTTGTAATTCCCTAAAAAAAACTCAGGAATAAGAGTGATGACATAGAAATGATATAAAGAGATGGAGGCCGGAATAAGATTGGAAGGCAACATGCATGACACGTCTCTTCTTGAATTTAAAATTACTTTCGTTGTATCTATTAGTTTTATATTTTTTTTACTATACAATCTGGAGGAGTGAGAATTCGAATTTACGAGTTTTTTTTAAAGATCGGTGTCCTAACCAATTGAACGTAGTCTTATATTTTTTGAATTATGGATGGTACTACTAATTAATCTAATAGGATGTTGAATTATGCATCATATAATATGAGGCAGAGGATTCAACATTTGATTCCAAAAATAATTATGCTTAAATTTACCTGTCATGTGATATTTTATTGGTAGACATCTAAATACCTAACTTATTTAAACGATCATATATGCTTAATTTTGAGACATCCAAATACCTTGGCATGAATATTACTTCAAAGAATAAAAATTTAGTCAAACAAGAAATTAGGTAGCAACGACTAAACCAATAAACAATCATTATCTTATGTCTTTATTGATAAATTGTCAAAACGGTGGAGCATGAGTATGATGTTCCATGTTCGCCCATGAAAACAACCATTTTAAATTCCACAATTCAAACGATATGTCTGCATTTTGTACACCAAATAAAATCTACGTTTAGATTAAATATTACTTTTAAAATTTTTAAAAATTAAAAAAATTACAAGATATATAAAAATAATTAATTGAATTTGGTTGATTCTTGTGCTACTGATAATATGATTGATAACTTTTTTTAGTCCCATAATGAAAAAATGGCTCTAATATCTATAAGAATTTCAAAAGCCCAAAAATAAAAGTGGTGGAAAAACGAGGAGTTGGTGAGCTGAGAGTAAATTTTCCAAAACAAGAAACAAAATTGGAGTAATGGATATCCCCCACCAACTCTTTCTCCGGAGAAGAATTTTAGGGTTTTGGTTATAGATAGATAAACTCGAACTTGACACATAAGCTACAGAATAAATATGGACTCGAGTGGAAAGAGAGTACGAAAGAGGTCGGCACAGACAAGTTCTATAATTTACGTGTCAAGTTCGACTTTGTCTATCCATGACGAAAACCCTAAAATTCTTCTCCATTTATAGAAGTTTAATATATTAATTAGTTGCCTACTCTAATCTTCGTAGGTTTAAAAATGACTGCTCCCCCTTGATGGAGTATTTGCACCAAGAACAAGCTAGATGAAATCTTGTTTTTTTTCCTCTCTTTTTCTTCGTCTATTTCTTGCCGTATGGTTTGTTTTGTCAAATCAACTTTTGGCACAGGAGCAGAATTTTATTTTCATTTTAGAAAGATAAATAAGTAAACAACCAACAGGAGAATGAAGGCAATGCAGATTTTTAGACATGTATAAAACGAAATAAAAATAAGCCAAGCTACGTATGAATGTAATTAGGACACACTAATAAATAGTTTCATCGCATTTTTTAAGATTTAAAATAATTTTTAGTATAAAAAACTATTCAGACACGTGGAGAGAGAGAGAGAGAGAGAGAGAGAG